GGGGGGGAGGGGGGAATTGGGGGGCGGGGGGGGGGGGGGGGGGAAGGTAAGGGTCTGAGGTTGATTGCAAGTATATTGTTTTCCAAAAAAAAAAAAAAACTTCTCAGCGTCGCAGGCACCGGGGAGCTTTGGTAAGAATTGGATTTCGAAAAGTATTGGTACAATTCAGGACATTTGGGATGAACAAACACAAGACTGGATTATGGAACAGGATCTGAGACTTTATCTGCCGAGGCTGCATAATGTGAGAATTCATTTTGCAGCGCTGAAAGCGGCTATTCCACAAGCTTGGAAAGCCTTATTGAAGGGTGAAGTTCCTCCGAATGGTAGAGTTTGGGTAAGAGCACCTACAGTCGAAGAGAAGTTTTGGAGATTGATGGGCTCGGATTCCGCCCATGGTACGAGGATTCAGGAATTGAAACCAGTCGGTTACACGTATAGGGCACAATCGCATACAAGGCCTTTGAAGCTAGTGGAGGAAAGAACAGAACGGGATATAGGCAATTTGGAGGAAGTAAGAGTTGGGATCTCCAAAGACAGAGAAGGAAAGGAGGTTTGTATTGGGGGCGTCTCAGTTGACAGGTATAAGACGGAACCGTTCATTTATGGCTGGAGGCTAGGACATCAGCAAGGGAATCTGCTCCCCCTGATCCAGTACTCTACAAAGACAGGCAGGGAAATACAGCGTATGAAGGTACGTAAGGCACCCTCTGTAGTGGCATGCAAGAGATGGGAAGAGTTCTGCCCGGATCTGATGACGGACCGAGACTTGCGTTGCTTATGGTCCCAGTTGAAAAAAGCAACTAATCAGAAAACAGCAGCGCTAATGTGGTTGCAGTCGATGCAGGTGGTGGCTTCGGCGTCGTGGTTATCAACAAAAGGGATGAATATTGATATAATTTGCTCACGGTGCAGGTGGGCTGAAGAAACTACGAACCACCTGTGGATCCACTGTCCAGTGTCGATAAGATTATGGCAATGGTGGCGGCGGCACTGGCGGGCCATCACTGCAGAAGTCACGCCTCAAGTGATTGAATGGACAGAGAATTGGATATTAACCGGAAAATCAACATCCTCGAGTAGACATTCAAGGGGATGGGACTATATAGCACAAGCATGCGGGGGGGTACTCATGGACTTGATCTGGCAGACAAGGAACGCTGCCCGATTTCAGGGAGACCATTGGACGTTCCCTCGCACTCAGGCTGCAGTGAAGACCCAGATAAGAAGAGTGATCAGAGCAGATTGGAGTGTGAAGAACGAGTTCTGGTTTCGGAATACCTGGGCAGCAGGAAATCGCCTGACAGAGATCTCTGCTGATTCCAAATTGGTTATTGGACCTTGGTTGAGCTCAGGAGCATAGGAGTTGCACAGAGGTTTAGTTACTTACGGTGTACAAGGAAAAAAAAAAAAAAAAAAAAAAAAAAAGGAAAATATTATTTTCAGATTTGTTGTGTTGTTGTATTTTGCAGAGGACTTTGAACTTCGGACCTCAGGGGCCCAGTCCCACTGGCAACTGGCTGGGATCGGATTAAGCACCTGAATCTGGATGTGTTTTATGCAGATGTGCAGAAAAGCAGATCAATTACAATGTTCAGCATCTCTCCACAAACACGTCCCGATTCAGGCGTTCAATTCAATCCTCTTTGCTAGTCGGACCTTGCTCCAGGGGCAAGGCTGCTCTCTCCCACGTTCTTCGGTTTCAGGCGTCCATCTATGTTAATCTGTTAATTTCACATTTTTTGTGTTGCCAACTCGAAATTTGTCGAGTTAATTTTCAAGTTGATTTTCAACCTTTGGCCTCAGGGGTAAGTTACTAGGTAGTAAGTTACTAGGTAGCAAGTTACTGGGTAGTAAGTTACTAGGTAATAAGTTACTAGGTAGTAAGTTACTAGGGGTAGTAAGTTACTAGGCAGTAAGTTACTAGGTAGTAAGTTACTAGGTAGTAAGTTACTAGGGGTAGTAAGTTACTAGGTAGTAAGTTGGCCCCATTCACCCACATTCTTTGGTTTCAGCCGTCCGTCTTTGTAACCTACTACGATCCATGGCCAGGAATCGGTGCAAGGGGCCGCTGATCTCCTCTCTGACGTCTTTTGGTCTGACTTTGGAAGGCCATGGGCGCCAAAAAGAAGAAAAAAAAAAAAGATCTGTGTACTGCTGCCTCCTGGTCAGGCTGTGTGGCGGCAGTCTGCCTGCTCTCTCAACCCTGGGTCTCTTCTTTTTTGTATTTTTCTTCTTTTTTTTAGTATTGGCCCTACTGGGCCCATTACCCAGCTTCGGCTGGCGGGCTGGAAACCGGGTCCAGTGAGTGTCCCTTTGATCAATCAAGAAACAAACAATCATGTTCCTCCAACAATAAGCTGCAACTGGACGAACTCATAGCTAAAAAAAGAAAGAATGCAAACAAGGAAAATGAAACTGCTTGGTCTAGCCTGCCTAACTGGCAGCTTAAACCATCTTCCTTCCCCCTCCCCCCCTCCCCCAAAAGCCAGCGTTCGCCTAATAGGAGGGGGGTGTTAGGAGCAGCCCCAGCTACTAGGTAGGACGGTGCTGGTTGCTCAATTCTATTGGTGGGGGAGCTTCACCTGCTGGAAACGAGGTCCAGCGTCCCATTGGATTACATCTGAGACATTTGAGATACACAAAAAGGAGGGACCCTGCCAGCATTGATTGCCCCAGAAGGCTGGGGGATTCACTGTGCTGAGGGGTATCAGACCTACGTCCAAAAGAGTTGCTGTCGTTGCTCTCGGGCCGGGGGGTGTGAAGGGGGGGAAGAGAGGGCTCTCCGGGGTGGCTCCGGAGCAGCCTCCTCATTCCTCTCTTCCCCCTCATCCTACCCTCCCTCTTTCTCGATTTATGCGTGTCATCCTTGTGCAAGGGCCATTTGCTAATTACCCGGCCTTCTCTGTATCGTTCCAATTTTAACGGATGTCCCGAAGGACTCTTGTAGAATTCCACAAATGCCAGCTGATGGGCCAGGAATAGGTCCGGGGAGTTCGAACCTGGTTGCAGCAAGATTCCCTGACTTGGTCCACTGACATCCAATCACCAAACTGCAGTCTGACGGTAATCCATCCCTGACCAAGTCGGTTCCTTTTTACTGTAGCTCCACTCCCCTCCTTCTTGTTGTTGTCCTCCTTGAGCCGGTGTATCTTCCAACCAGATTTTTTTTTTTTTTTTTTTTTTTAAACGAGGACAAGGCTCCAATCTATTCGTGGGGAGCAGCACGTGCTGGGAACCGGGCCCAGCGTCCCATATTAAAATTTACATAGAATTTGAAAGTCTGAGATACCAGGGCCATTACCAGGATTTGGCTAATAAAATTTTGAGCTACTTTTAGAAAATTACTACGACAAACTTCAGAAAAAAGGTCTACCCACATCTCGCGACCAGATTACTTCTGCTATCCATCCCTTTCGGGAACCCCCCAACCATTCCTTGCCATTGTTGCCAAACTGGGAGACCATCTTGCTAAATTAAATGTCCCTTTTAGTGTGCACAAAGCAGCTCTTTTTTTTTTTTTTTTTTTTTTTAACTTCGTATATGGGAAATCTACTTAACGAGGTGATAAGAGCATCCCCGTTAAGTAGGTCCCGGCGTCGAAGGCTCCATCTATTGGTGGTCAGCTACACCTGCTGGAAATCGGGTCCAGCATCCCTGTACAAAGATGTGAAAGTAGCTGCTGGAAAGCGGGTCCAGCGTCCCTGTACAATGATGTGAATGTCTCTGTTGGAAATCGGGTCGAGCGTCCCTATGCAGAGATGTGTTGATACCTCCAACTACCTATGTGTTCGGAACCCTAACCATCATGTGATGTGTATAACTGTGATGTGTATAACAGTGATGTGATGTGTGTTAGCTGGAAGATGGGTCCAGCACCCCTATGCAGTGGTGTGTAGCTATGTCCTACCTTCAGAGGCGGTCTGTATATGTACAGCAATCCATATGATTCAACATCCAACCGGTGTGTCTGCACTCATCAATTAGTATGTGCCCCCTGAAGGGAAAACTTAACACTGATATGAAGTGAAACCCCAGAGCTGATGTACTCTATGTGAAGGAGCAGAGGCATTGATTACTTCCCAATGCAGGGGAAGGATTGACCTCCTGCTGATACAGCATATATGTCCTATACAATGATGTGTATAGATATCAATCTGCGCATATATTCACCCGCAATAACAAGCGTAATCCACAACAATCCTTTCATGATTAAGAGATGAGGGTCAGACAGGTAAGAGGCAATCAACCCTAATCATCGCAAGATCATCTATCCTATCCCCACCCGGTGCCAGAGAAAAAGAGATGATTCATCATGGAAAAACACCGAGTAAGGGTGGAGGGGAACAGTACCAAATCGTAGCTTCAGCCTCAAGCCCCACTTCGCCATCTGCAACAAGCTACAAGATCCCCTCCACTGCCCTGATGACGGCATCTGTCCCATGACGCTGATAAGGATCAAAGCTGCAGAAGCACCACTCTCTGCCCCGCTACCTCCGGGGTTGTCACTTCCTCCATCGTCGTGGCTATTCTTCGTCTTCTTGTTCTTGTTGTTGTTGATATCGCCGTCGTTGTTGTTGTCTGTGTCGTCCTTCTCACCCACCGCACCCTTTTCCCCCAATCCCTGCTCACCGTCATTTTTATTGTTACTGTTCTTGTTGTCAACATCCTCACCCATCTCTACCATCTCCTTGTTGTTGCTGTTGTTGTTGTCAACGTTCTCTCCCCTCTCCACCATCCCCATCTCTACCATCTCATTGTTGTTGCTGTTGTTGTTGTTGTTGTTGTTGTCAATGTTCTCTCCCCTCTCCACCATCGCGTTGGTGTCGTTGTTGTTGTTGTTGTTGTTGTTGTTGTTGTTGTTGTTGTTGTTGTTGTTGTTGTTGTTGTTGTTGTTGTTGTTGTTATCCTCGTCCACGCTTATCCCACCCAGTTCGCCCGTTTGCCGCTCGCCGCCGTTGTTGAAGTTACTATTGTTATTGTTGTCAATGATGTTATTGTCATTGTTGTTGTCAACCGCCCCGCCCGTCTTGCCAATCCCGCCCATTCCTTGCCTCCCTTCTTCCAACCCCTGCTCCACCTCCATTATTGTTGTTGTTGAAGTTGTTGTTGTTACTGTTGCCGTCGCCGCTGCCGCTGCTGCCATTTCCACCATTGCCAGTAGTCCCCACTCCCCATCCCACTCAGCCACGTCATCAGTGGCATATTCCCCCTCTCCATTGCCATCTACACACTCATCCCCAACCTCCCACTCACCAGCGTCATCAGCGGCATATTCCCTCTCTCCATCCCCAACTGCACTCTCATCCTCAGTCTGGTTAGAGAGTGCCATCAAATTAACCCACCTTTCTTCTCCCCCCCCCTCATACTCGTTGCACTCATTCACAGCAATGGCACAACTCACCCCTCTTCCAGAATCCCAGATCTCACCTATAGCGCAGATATTTGTATAATAGCGAAGAACATTTTGATCATCATCTTGCTCACCTTCAGAATCTTCTGTAAGCGAGACTTCGTCTTCATTATGGTAGAGCTTATCCTGTAGTCGAAGTGCTTCACACTGTAGCTTCTCTTCCATCTCCATCCCTCGTGCTTCGCGATCATCGTCTTGCTCACCTTCAGAATCTTCTGTAAGCGAGGGTTCGTCTTCATTATAAAAGAGCTTATCCTGTAGTCGAAGTGCTTCACGTTGTAGCTCCCCTTCCATCTCCATCCCTCGCCCGGAGTGCTGCGCCACGTATTGCATCTCATCGTCGATCTTCACTGCTGGCGCTACCCCTGCCCGCGTGTCGCGGACGTTCATGTCCCTACAGCAGATGCCACGTGGCAATCAAAGAGCCACGTGCTTCTGCCGGGCGCGCGCACAGGCCTAGCAGCCTGGGAGCTTACCTCCCCAGGCGCTAGTCGAGCCGGGAGGCCGGCGTCAGGGCGCTAGCGCTAGCGCATCACCCCTTTGTCACCAAGTACTGGTGGTTTAATTGGAATAAATCCGTATACTTCCTGCCCTTCGCGTTCTCCTTATCGGTGGACTGGGGCCTAAAGAGGGTCCCGGCAGTAAACTCCGACCGTTTTCTAGGAGTTAAGGTGTCGTTAACCAACGCATCAGAAAGGTGTCGTTAACCGACGCATCAGAAGCCCAAGACTCAATCTTGGGGTAGAAAGTAGCCGCCCAAATCTCTGGTTGGGTGAGAAGCCATCAACTCTCCATCTTCGGCCGTGCGCTGGTTCTCTCCGCAGCCACCTTCTCACTGTTGTGGTTCCCACTAGTAGTCCATTTGTTAGGTGGCACAGCTTACCTGCACAAAGAAGCTCTCATCTTCTGCTTGCTCTGGTTCCAGTGAGCGAACATATTCAGTCCGTCCAAGTTTTTTTTAATAATAATAAAAAAAAAAGTCCGTCCAAGTTCTTTTATATTCAATTTGATTCCTGTCGAGCGTGTCATGATGTGCCGTGGAATCTTTCTTTCTTTCTTTCTTTCTTTTCTTTTTTTTTTATTTTTTTTTATTTTTTATTTTTTTAAAGCTCCAATCTATTGGTGGATGTACCGTGGAAACTATTATATCTTATAGTTACCCACTCCTAAGAACATTTCCCTCATCCTGTCCCAGAATATATCTGCGGGCATTCAACATATTACATTTCCCCCCCCCCGGATTTCTGTCCAGGGGGAAGCAGACCAGTGAACTCAATCTATCTCCTCTTCCAGTCGAGCACAGTTTTTAATTTTAATGGTTATCCCGCCTCCTGTCGTGCCGACCTGTTTAATGCAGTGATCAATTAAACAGTGATCAAGATTCCCTACCCAAGTCCGTGACTTGTGCACAATACTACTTTCGAGGAAGAGAAGCAAGCCAGTGACACTGTGCTATTGTAGAAGCTGCCACTCTCTTCAAGTTGCTGTCGTCATCCTCCTCGTAAATAGGCACGTTCTAACTTTTTAGCATTTAATTTACACATTAGTCTATCAATTATGGTAACGTCAGACAACCAAAAAGAGACATGCATGCCAACCTTGGGAAAGTCCAACAAAGAAGAAGAAGAAGAAGAAGAAGAAGAAGAAGAAGAAGAAGAAGAAGAAGAAGAAGAAGAAGAAGAAGAAGAAGAAGAAGAAGAAGCAGCAGCAGCAGCAGCAGCAGCAGCAGCAGAAGAAGAAGAAGAAGAAGAAGAAGAAGAAGAAGAAGAAGAAAATGACATGTGGAAAGAGTTCTGTGCAGCTTTGCTCACACTCCAGGTAAACAACAGAAGAAGAAGAAGAAGAAGAAGAAGAAGAAGAAGAAGGAAATGACATGCGGAAAGAGTTCTGTGCAGCTTTGCTCACACTCCAGGTGAACAACAAGTTTGTCCTACTCACGGACAGAAGTTCAACCATTGCTGCTGCTGAGGTACTCACAGTTGTCTTTACTCGTCTTTCTCTCTCCTTTTTTCTTTTTCGTTTGGCCTTCTTCTCTCCTCTCGGCTCTCCTCCATCTTTCTTTTGCCGCAGGGCCCTATGGAGATGGTGGTGGTAGCGGTTCTGATCGGCCTTGAGATAGGCTGGACTGCAATGATTGCTGGCATGGCAACAATTATTGTCCTTATCCCCATACAGGTCAGAGCTCCTGTTCTCTTTATTTCACTCGTTAAAAAAAATAAATTAAAAAAAAAAATAATAATAATAATAATAAATTATTAATAAATTATAAACACTATCGAACAGCTGAACTTGCTGCTGAAGTTTTATGAAAACGAGTGGACTTGGTCCCCATACAGGTCAGAGCTCATGTTCTCTATATTTCACTCCGAGTCGTTTTGAAAAAAAAATAATAATAATAATAATTATAAAGTTATATATAAATTTATAAACACTATTAATTTAGTATTAAACAGCTGAAATTTTATTCTGAACATTAAGAGAGAATAATTGAAAAAATGCTCTCAGCCGGCTGCAAATCAGTGCTCCTGTTCTTTGCTTCTCTCTTCTCCCCCTTACTCCCCCCGCCCCCCCCCCCCCCCCCCCCCCCCCCCCCCCCCCCCCCCCCCCCCCCCCCCCCCCCCCCCCCCCCCCCCCAACCCCTACACCTCCCCTCTCCTTGAGTCCAGTGGCAAATGCCCTTTATATATTTGTCGGGGTAGCTGCATATATAGAATTTTATTCCTGTAGGCTGTAGATGTCCACATAGTACTTGAGCTGCAGACTACAGTAGGAAATTCAAGAGTGTCTCATGAAATGAAATGCTTTGTTAAAATTATCAAACTAATAAATGCACGAATAGTTGTGTCGACTCCGGACTCGTGACAAAGTTTCTGCTTGCTCTCGGACTCGTGACTCGTGACGAAGTTTCTGCTTGCTTCTNCTCTCTCTCTCTCTCTCTCTCTCTCTCTCTCTCTCTCTCTCTCTCTCTCCATCTATCTATCTATCTATCTATCTATCTATCTATCTATCTATCTCTGTGTGCGCAAAAAAGAGTTTTGAAGCCATGTTTGATGGACTGCATGGACTTAAATAGTCTGCTTTCTTTGCCTCCTTTTCCTGTTTCCTCCCCCCTCCCCTCTAATTTAAGAAACTAACTGTGAATGGCTTTGGTTACCTGAATGCAGTTACTTTTGGGAAGGATGTTTACCAAACAGAGAGTGCAGAGTGTGAAAGAGACAGACGCACGAGTGAAGATGACGGGGGAGGTGAGTGCTCTGTTCACGAATCCATCGCCTTGAAGGTGGGAGAGGTGTACTGATGTGAATGTTCGTTGAACTGGCTGTTTGTTTGTTTTTTTTCGTACTTGGTCATTTGTTCGTAGGAACCTAAGCGTTTTAAACCGCCAGTACACCCAGGGCTGTTTCGCCGAACCGACGTGCCCCCCCCCCCTGTGCACGAAATTTGCCGAAGCACCAGCGCGGCGTTTTTCTTTTCATTTTGGCTGGAGGCGCCAGCCATTTCAGCACGGTCGGTCCGAGCCCCAAGAACCCCCGAGCGTTTCGCTGGTGGGGGGACGAGTTCATTTTCTGTAAGGCTGGGGCTGTGTACCGGTGGTTTAATGTATCTAGGTAAAGTAATCCAAGGCGGATCTCAACTGTTGCCAAAGAAGCCCTTAGCTCTGCGGCCTCAGCCCCTGTTTTCTTCACCCTTCGTTTTGTTTTGATAGGATTTCTCCGCTACAGGCCCTGGTTCCAATGTCAGTCCCAGTCCCAGTTCCAGCTCCGAGTCCCAGTTGCAGCCCCAGTCCCGGTCACCTGTACCATACTCCCGTGTTCCAGGTAGATTCATTGCCAGTAGGGTGATATAGGAAGATTCCGGTAGGTACCAGTAGACTTATGCAAAGGTCTGTAGATTCTGTGTAGAAGTCGATAGCCCCTTTTGTCAGTTGGTCCAGTCAGCAGCGAAGTCCCAGGAAAGTCCCATAACTGGCCTATAACTGGTAGAGGAATTCCGGACGCAACAAACATAACTTTCAGAAGCAACAAGCATCGGCAGTGGCACTGGCCCATAACTGGTAGAGGAATTCCGGACAGTGAATCATTCGGTACAAAGGTTCAGTTGTTGAAATTGTCTACACATATTCACTTGTGTAACCAAGCGGAAGCGGCTCTGTGCTATTTTTGCATACGTTGCTATGTGCTGCAGTAGGAAGTAGTCAACAACAGTGAGAGAGAGAGAGAGAGAGAGAGAGAGAGAGAGAGAGAGAGAGAGAGAGAGAGAGAGAGAGAGAGAGAGAGAGAGGGCTTGACTGGCGGCCATAGCCTCTGTCATACACAAAGACAATTATGTAATTGAGTTGATCGGCAGAGACACTCTTTCAGTTTCTATGTCACGTGTGCTTCCTAATAATATTATGGTGTGAGGTTGGTGTGAAGCTGTCGTGCATGGATGGTCTCAAAGCAGTTTGTTCATTTTCAATCTTAATTTCTCAAATGAATGGCATGTTTTTTTTTTGTGCCAATACACTTCTCAAGGTAAGGTTAAGTCATCGCTATTTGCAAAGCAGCCTCTTTTCTCAACAAACGTATCTAAGAATCTAAGATAAGCCTCAGCTGTTGACCATACATCCAGGTGGTTGAGAGGTACGTACTACGTGGTGAATGCTATGCTCATGCACCCTTCGCAGTCGAGAGTAGTACTAGGCTACTAGTAGCCACTATGATGACGTTCGGTTAGCGGATCGATTCTTCTATATCGCAGGAGAAGACATCAACTATTATATATGGGGCGATGAGTCTTGTATAACACGGATCGATATGGTAGTGAATGCCAGATAACTCCTTGTTATGTGAGGGCGATCGGGACGTCCGGCTAGGGCATGCGGATTGCAAAACTGGATCCGGCATCGCACAGACTCGTGGTCGTGGAGACGAGTCAAGTCAAGTATCAGGCCTCAGAGGGTTAGAAGCCTCCAATGGCTAAATTTAATATTAATGTATCTGGCAGTCCCAGCAGCAAATATTGGGCTTAAACCGCCAGTGCACAGCCCCAGCCTTGCTGAAAAAAAAGAAATTTGTCACGCTCGACGTCACCTACAAAAAATTCGGAGGCTCGGCCTACCGGCCCACCATGTCTGGCGGTGCCAGCCAAAAAAAGCAAAAAAGTGCACTGCTAGTGGTTCAGAAAACCTTGGCGTGCAGTTAGGCACCTGCAGGCCCGGGGGCTAGGTCCCACTTACACGAATTAAGCGATATTGACCATAGATAGCAAAGATCAACGGTCAGATTCTCGTAATCCGTGCAAGTGGGACCTTGCCCTGGGTGTACTTACTGGTGGTTGAACACAAGACGAAAGGACGAGGATAGAACACAGAAGAATCCTCGAAATGCACAATGTGCCTGGACAAGCAACTACCGTCTTCGCCCGAACAGAACGCCCGGTCATTATAGCTGTATTTGGCACAACTTTCAGCCCAGATACGGCGATAATTAACGGGCGTTCTATTCGGGTGCAGACGTTCGCAGCATTTATCGACTGTTTTCTTGGGATGCAAGCACGCCCCAAGGTTTGTGGGAAACGTCCAGAACAGTATGGTATAAGTTGCCAAATATGGAAAGACAGACCCTCTATTTGTGGGGACCCTCTTGATCCTTGCTCCTTCTATTATGGGAAGTGTCAGTGTGGTTCCTATTCCACCAGCAGGACTCTAAAATTACTTTTACAAATTTACACCCCACTTGAACGCTTTCCTTCGTTACAGCCTGGAAAAAAAAGGGGGGGCCAAGTACGTTGATGTCACTTTTGAGTATTGAATGAGCAAAAAAAAACATGTTCTGGCAAAGAAAACAGGTGCCGAGTTTGAAAAAGCAATGAAAGTACCACCAATGGCCGTGGTGTCAAGCCGGGTGTCAAAACTACAGGGGTCGGCCGTGGTGTCAGATGGGGAAAGAGAAAAAAAAAAAAAAAGTCAGCCGTGGTATCAGATGGGGAAAGAAAAAAGGAAAAAAATGCCCAACGGATTCTTTTCAACCCAAATTGCCTTTCCAAAGTCGCCACCTGTTTCCCTTGCTTTTTTTTTTAGCTTTTTGGCTTTGCGAAATCGAAACCTGCTGCATCCGCCGTTGTTTGAAAAAAGAAACTCGGCAAATGCCAAATAGTACCGAATAAGGAGCCTCTAGCATGCAATTTCTCTACCTCTTTACAGCCTCGGACACAGAGGATCTAGTTGCCCGAAAGGAGGAAGGATTGCAGAACTACAAGTAAGGACGACAATCCTGTGGGTGATCTGGCGGGCTAGATGCAGCGAGGTGGTGGGCAACAGGACAAAAATAATATCCAGTGGAGGAATCCTGGGAGTGCGGCAAAAAAATGAATGGAGGCTGAAATAAGGGAAGAGCCCAAGAAAAGGAAAGGAAAAAAAAAAGGGAAGAGTCCAAGAGAGGACCGATAAAGATGGATAAAGAACTAGACCCCCAAAAGAGAACTCGGTTACTGAAATATTATTTTGGAAATTTGGAGAGGTTTGGCTAAGGGAAGGACAAGTAGTTGAGATACAAGGGAAGGCTCAAAATTTTTGAAGACTTGTATGATTTGGGTCGAGGAAGGAAGACGGAAAAGGACTGAGACAGAGAAGAGTACTTAAGGCAGGAAGGAGGCGGAGATGAGTACTTGAGCGGGAAGGAGACCGAGAAGAGTACTTAGTTGGGAAGGAGATGGAGAAGACGTGTTTTTTGCCGGGAAGGAGACAAAGAAGAGTACTTAGACAGGAACACAGGAGAGTACTTGGGCGGGAATGGAGAAGAGTATATAGGTGGGAAGGAGACGGAGAAGAGTGCTTAGGCCGGAAGGAAAAGGAAAAAACGAGACAAGTCTCTTTTATCAAGTAACYTACRCCTCAAAATTTGAAGTTCTGCTGCTTGCACCATGATTAGAGAAGGGCCCGAAGGCTAAGTTAGTATAACAAGTTTACCTTGGTTACTACCAAGTTTACCTTGGTTACTAACAAGTTTACCTCGGTTACTAACAAGTTTACCGCGGTTACTAACAAGTTTACCGCGGTTACTAACAAGTTTACCTTTGTAATGAACCTAGTCAACAATGCAATAATAGTGCAATAGAAGTCTGAACCCAGCGCGCCTCATGAAGTGTCCAATATCGATTACAAGTCCATGCGTCGATCATATGCACAACTCAAGAGTGTCGTCTCATCAAAGAAGAGCATGGGAGGAGAGAAAGAGGAGAGAAAAGACAGAGAAGAGGAGGAAGAGAGTCACAATGATAATCAATGCCAGTACATGTACTATGTCTCTCTTTCTCTCCCACTTCCACTTCGGGCTTCTCCCCTACCGCCACCTCAGCATTGTATGCTCCCTCTGACGTCCTCTGACAAAATCACTTGTGCAGATCATTAGAGGGCGCCTGTCCTCCCTCCACGTCAGCAATAAAGTATGGAGGATGGCGCTGCACTTCCTCGCCTTCGTGGAGACCAGCAGCAGATCACACATGTCGTCGCCAGGTAAGTCCAAGTAAGCTTCCCCACATCTCCCGTCAGTCTCGCCTACAGCTATGGCCACGCCAACATATTCTCCTTCTCCTCCTTGCCAATCCGCATCACCTAGTCTACCTCCATGCAGCTATGGCCACGCCAACATAATCTCCTCCTCCTCCTTGCCAATCCTCATCGCCTAGTCTACCTCTACGCGGCTATGGCCACACCAACATAATCTCCTTCTAGGCTGGCGCCCACCAGCAGCATCGGCGCCGGCACCCAACTCCAGCAGCCTCGCGTTACAGCACTACGGTAGCATCAAGCCAGAGCAGTGTCTGACTATCCTTTTGTAGCGTTGAACAGTGTTGACTTCCGTGGACCAGTCTCACCTTTGACATTGTCAACGCTCCAGATTTGGCCGATCTCGACGGCCTGGATGCAGCCTTGAAGCAGCGGTACCTTTTTCCCAGTCGGGACTGGAATCTTCCGGATACCTGCAGACAACCATTGATGTGCATCTGATCTATGGCCGAGCCTAACTACTGGGTTCACTTTGACTTTGACATTGGGCCTGCTTTCCCATGCTTGGTCTGACTCTTGATTTTCCAAGAGTCAGCTACCTCATGTGGGGGCTCTGGACGCTGTTTTTTAACCCAGGCCCCTGATAACCCTTGACCCTTTTTTTTTTTTTTTTTTTTTACCGCCCACGACAACAGATAGGAGTGATGATAGGAGCATACACTCCTACCTGTCTTTTTTTTTTAGGCCTTTTCCTAGACATTTCTCAGACTTGGGACATGACCTTTGACCAAATTGACCCGTGTTTCTGGGCTTTGACCAAAATTGACAACCCTTGCCCGCGAAGATGTGGCCATGAACTGAGTTTATTATTGCACCTTGGCTACTAACAAGTTTACCTTGGTTACTAACGAGTTTACCGCGGTTACTAACAAGTTTACCTTGGTTATTAATGTAACCACAGTTAGATCACGGACGGAGTAGTGAACCCCGTCCAGCAACGCTCTTCCCGGACTGTTTCTCACTCAGAGGCAATGACCACCATGCACACGATGCCAAGCACTCAAAACAGATCCAATCTTCGACCTCTTCCTCGTACTATAAGACTGGTAATCTTGAAAAGGACGACTTTATTCCCGGTCTACGAGTCTCTTTCTCTCCCATCTGCCCTTTCATGTTGTCGGCACCCCCTGTTCAGACTGTTGGCAGCAGTCTGCCTCCTCTCTTGTAACGAGCCAAGCGACAAACATCCTTCTTGCCAAATCGCCTCTGAGTCTGCATTCCTTACCAGAGGCATGGCTCAAATCCTGACAAACGTATAGGTCAAAATTCCCTGACCCATTGAGACTAAACCCTAAACCCTAAACCCTAAACCCTAGAAATCCAACTGCAATGGAGGCTATGGAGCTAAGCGGAGGCGGCTCTGCTCTCTGATGAGAGCCATAGCTGCCAGCCAGGCCTCCCAAACCCTAAACCTCTAACAACAAGGGGGCTAAACTGAGCCTGTGCTTTCTTTTGAGGACCATAGCTCCCGGTCTTTTGACCCTAAAGGGCCTAAACACCTGTACCCTAAAGGGCTTAAACATCCAACCTCAAGGGCCTAAATTGGTGAACCTGTTACTTTGTTTTTCAGGGCAATCGCTTCCAGGCCTTAAAGCACCAGTACACGGCTACCTGGGCCGCGGGCCTGACACCTTGAATTCCGGAAGCGCAAAACGAAAAAGCGACCGCCAATCCAATTTATCAACGGCGGGTCCAGCGTTTGACGTTTCGGCCTCGTTTTCTTGTGGCGGCAAGTTTTGGACTGCAAGGCTGGGGCCGTGTACTACCTACCGTCTTCACTCGAATAGAAACGCCTGGTCATTATAACTGTATTTGGTGCAACTTTCTGTCCAGAGACGGCTATAATGACTGGCCGTTCTATTCGGGTGAAGACGGTAGTGATCTAAGCCCTAAGGGTCCTAGGAACACACCTACACCCTAGCGCGACAGAACTTCTCAACTCTAAACCCTAAACCCTAAACCCTAATGGTAAATTGCACCTTTGTCCTTCTTCTTTTCCCTTTTTTGAAGTTTTGCCCCTGCTTTTCTTACCTTGTTGCAGGTTCTGGATGGCATCCTGGCCGTTAAGATGTTCGCCTGGGAGAGCACATTCAAGCGGAAAATACAAGCGACTCGCAAAGCAGAAGGGAAAATGTGAGTAAGGATTTTTGCAGGCGCCTTCAACATGGTTGTCGACACAGTTACCTAAAGCATCATTTTTTTTTCTTTTTCCAGAAACGTAATTATTTCCTTACTACGTAGGCTTAGTATATACTATACTGGATACTACGACTTCGCTAGCTTCCTGCTA